AAAGAAAAGAAAGAAAGAAAGAAAGAAAGAAAGAAAGAAAGAAAGAAAGAAAGAAAGAAAGAAAGAAGGAAGAAAGAACGAACACGACGGGGATGGGCCAAGAAAAAAGGCTGCGAGCATTGAGAGCATATAGAGAGGAAGACAGAGGAGAAGGGGGAGGAGCGGGGAGCGGGACTGGAGCGGAGGTCGAAGGAAGGAAAAGAGAGTGGAAGGGCTGAGGGAGCGACGGAAGGTCGGGAAAGGCCGGCGGGAAGGGAGGGAAGAAGGAAAAGAGAAAAAGAAGAGAGGGAGAGCGAGAAAGAAAGAGAAGGGAAGGAAAGAGGGAGGCAAGACCGAGACGGACCAGAAACTTGAGGCTGGCAGAGCGAGGGAGGCCACGCCAGAGCGAGGACTGTGAGGAGGGTGCAACAGTCTAAAGCCAAAGTTCAGCGAAGCCTAAAACCCAGGCCAATAAAGGAAGTGTGGTGGGTCCGGCCAGAGGCAGGGCTGGGCCTGGGGGCTGGCAAGGCGTCCCCCCGCGGGCCTGCGCCGGTTCCTGCTCCGCCTGTCCTCGGGTCCTGCCCGCGCCGCTTGCCGGGGCCGCCGCGAACACCTGTGCGCCCGGGTCCGCCTGCCGCTCCCTCCAGGCTGGGGTCCGGGGAGAGCTGCCCCTAGGAGGTCGAGGCCGGGATGGGCAGTCCGTGTAAGCTACTGAGGGCGTTCGGGGCCTTGGTGCCCGGGCTGGGAGGCTTCCTGTCGGCCACTGCGGGAGGAAGCACAGGGGCGTCGGATCACTGCCCAGCGCTGCGCAGGGCTGGGGACGCGCGGACTCTGGACGCCCGCAGAGCCAGGTCGTGCGCGCTCAACCCTCGAAGGCTCTGGAGAGGGAAGCAGAAACTCCGCTCTCCAGAGACTCCAAGCGTCCGTGGGCGGCCGGCCCTCCCTCTCCCGCTTAGGGAGAGACTTGCAAGGAGAGCTTTGGCAAGCGGGGCTCCTCGCAAGGCCATCTGCGAGCACTGACCGCTGGCCAGGTGCAATTCCCGTTGCCCTCCAACCCCCTCACCACCCGCTCAGTAAAAGAAGTGAAGGGTGCAGAGGGCTGGGAAGGTTTCCAGGTCTGATGGAAACTTCCGCGGAAGGAAGCTGAACGCTAACCTCGCACGGCCCCTCCTGCAGACCCTCACCCTCTCCAAACCCGAGGCGAGCGCAAAGGTGCGAGGGGAAGTCAATGCTTTGAGTCCGCTGACACCCGCGGCTCGGAGCTGGCTGTGGGCAGGGGGAAATCGTGCGGGATATGGGCCATCAAAGAGTTCCCTGGAGCGGCCTGGATTCCTCCGAGGTAGGAGGCAGTTGCTCTTAAAGTGAGCGGCAGACTTCGTTGTGCCCTCGAGATTCGGGGATCCAGATGCGCTCACCACTGTGGGCACAGCGCGTCCTGGGGCCTGGGGGCCTCCGGATTAAGTGACAGCGGGCTTGCCAGATCGGGCGGTATTCTGCGCCTTACTCTATTATTTAGGGGTTTGGGAAGGGGCCCAAGTTACGCTACTGGAAGCCAGAAAGTGACGCCACGATTGCTCAAGCCTGTTTTTCCTTACCCAACCTTGGTCCACTCTGCTTCTCCTACACCAGGATCCACAGTTTGTTTATGCCTAAAGGGGTCCATTTTCCACTTTCTTTTTTCCCCCAAGTCCTCTTTTAAAGGGGGAGCTTGGAGCGCCTCGATTTGGAATGAGGGGAACTCTGGATTTTTTTTTTCTCCTACGACTTCTCTCGCCTCAGCCTCAGGCGCAACTTGCTGTGGCGGCGCGGAGCTGAGCCAACCACCTCTGTGCAACACACACACACACACACACACATACACACACACACACACACACACACGGTTTCGTTGAGGTTTTAAAGAGGTCTAAAGACCTTCCCAGGACACAATGGCCCCTCTACTCTTCCCTGGCTCTCCGCGCTTTTTCCTAAACACAGTTATGGCCGCCCAGCCAACAAGTATTCAGACCTTTTCTTTCTACCCTGGACACACACTTCAAAGTGAGGACCTGTTTAGAAAACATCTGAGGAGAAGGAGGTTTCTCAGCCAAGGGATGGTTACCTTAGAGACAAGCAAGAAACTGAACCCATGAAAAATAAACACCCAGGGTGATTGCATCCCACCCTACGGGGGCGAATCCTGCTGTGTTTTTAGCCCTGTCCAAGCCGTTCTTCCTCACAGGGTCACTCCTGCCCTCCATTCCCTCCATAGGACATGGGGCTATGTGGGTGGATATGTCTGGGCACTCTGCGGCTAGAGCCTCGGTCAGGCTCATCTAACTGAGGGGCTAAGAATGGGGAGAGACATTTCATAAATATTCAGTTGCGATTGCAGGGCACTTTGGGACCACTGTTGAGGGGAGGACCGGGTCTGGCAAGGGATCCCCCGGGGCTGGATCAAAAGAGGCTGAGGTTGCCGGCTGCCAGGTGTGACAATGCCAGCGCCCTAGTGCTCCCTAACAAAGTTCACTTTTAGGATCCTCCAAGAACTAATCTCCAGGCAGAGGTAGCTGGAGCAAAGCTGCAAGTTATCTTTAAAAACATCAGCAATGCATTTTCTTTGTGCGTATGCAATATCTTATAGATTTGATTTCCAAACCTTTAGTTATTCCAGAGCTCCACGGGGAGGGATTTAAAACCCTGAGTTTTCGAGGGTCCCTGAAAATGCCCTGTAAATACCAGTTGTCTTGGAGAACATCTGGTGGTGTCTGTCACCTAAGGTTGGAGAAGGGGAGATGGTTGTGCCTGGCTGTGAAAAGACATTTGGATGTGGGTGGAGATTTCTACAATGTCAGCCTCACCAAGTGAAGATTCAGTGAAACTTTTCCTATCCTTCTCAATTCCCAAAAATTAAAGTTTCCTTTCAGGGGGCGAAAACTGTAAATCATACTTTTTGCCTACATAATAGGAAACCCAGACTCAGTACCTTTTAAGAAATAAGAAAAAAAAATAATTATAGCATTAATTAGATAACACAATTAATCAATTAACATTTAATTAAATGTTAAATTTTCAATTTGACATTTGATTAAGCTTCACTTAGGGTAACTGTTAAAATGTTCATTTGTGCTAATTTGGAGGACATATTGATATATATATATCACTGTGTTGTATATATCACTGTGTGTGTGTTCTACGTATGTGTTAGGTGATCAAAGATATTTGTTTTTACTGAGCATTCATTGTATTAAATTGCTTTTCACTACACTGAAGAATTTTTTCTTACTGAAAAGAAATTCTGTAAAAGCTACTCTTACTATTCTTATGAATTGAACAATTAGTGATAGTAAATTGTCCTGCGGGACAAGTTTGTTTGAAAATATTAATTTCTTAGGAACTGATCAGAAAATAAAAGGCAGTGATTCTTATTTATTTATTTATTTGTCTTTTCAAAGATCAGTTGTGTTGGGGAGATAGATCTTTGAAGTCAGCTGTTCTACCAGTGAGGGGTAAAAACCCATAACCCAAGTATGTATGTAATTCTCAGGCTGTAGAAATAGATAGATAATGAATAATTATTTTTGTATTCCTGTTTGAACACAAATAATTGCACGCCAGCTTGAGCAATCGTTAATAGTGTTCCCGAGTTATCTGATTATCCTTTATTAGAAACTTTAAAGAACTTGGAGGACCACAAAATTAAGTTAATTTAATAACTCGAGTAACAAACTATTGATGTAGTTTTTGAAAACAGGTGGGATATTACATAATAGAAAGCCAATAAAATGGTAAAAAAAGGACTTAAATGCCAGCACCATTCAATGGCTCTGTATTTCTGAAAAGGAAAGTGTCTTCTAAAGAAAATCAATCATCAGTGAGGCTAAATGTTGAAATCAGCTTCCCCACCACTTCCACCTCAAATTAATGAGAGGTAGTTTACAAGTAGAAACTGTGTGCGTTACCTTCAGGTTGTTACCTGCACTTCATAATTTGTGTCTAATGTAGAGTTTAAAAAGCCTCCAGGGCAAAGTGGCTCTATTGGAAAACAAATGCATTCCTCTGAAGACTGTGGGTCTTTTTTCTAAGTCTTCCTTCTCCTTAGGATGAACCCAGGGAAATATTTCAAATCTGTGGTTATACTTTTTTAATTCAAAAGAACCTGCTTATTTAAGTGATTTGTGTAATATGGTCCATTCCATTTTGATTTTGATTTCAACAGATAACCTCAGTTGTTGAGAAAACAAGTTGATTGCAGGCGGAAGATGAGTGAAGCGCTCATCTGCGACCCCTTGGCTGTCCTTAAAAGTAAAGCTTATAGTTCTGACTCTCAACTTTTAACATTTCCTTCATTTAGATTTTTCTATAAATGAGCAAGTGATAGTATCCTATTATTTAAATTAAATTTAAAGTTTAAAAGAGCTCTAATTCTCAATTTTTATAACTTTTCTTTACTTGGATTTGTCTATAACCAGGCAAGTGAACATTGTCCTCATATCCCAGTAGATCTGTGCTCTAGGAAAGGTGGAAAACACTTTTTCTAAAGTATTTCTCTTCCTCCATTTCACTGTTGTGGATGGCCTCTTAATTTCCTTCCTGCCCCCCACTCTCCCCCATACCCAATCCCCAGAGCACACCCTCCTGTGCTCAAGACTACTTGGAAAAAGCACTTTTTGAGGGGCAGCACCAAGGAGGATGCCCCTCCAGTCCCCTGCCTGCCCACTGCCACCTGCCACTACATTCACCTCTCTCCCAGTCCTGGGTAGGTGGAGGCAAAGGAGCTAGTAAAAATCTTTTAATAATCTGGGAACACCACGCTGTCCCCCAGGTTTGTGCTTAGTCCCTTTCTATGCTGGGACTGAGACGCCCGGGGGTGACCCTTTCCTCTCCCAGGTTGGTTGAAGTTGCAAATTTCTATTGCTCAGAGCCTGAGACCCGTCAAGTTTGAAATTAGCAAATCAAGTCATCCCTTTTAACAACAAAGAAAGTGAAGACTCAAGGGCTGGAGAGCTTTTCCTAAGTTAAAGGAAAAACTGGAACCCTCCTGGGCAGTGTGAAGAGATGCTTCTCACACTGCTGTCAATGAAATACCTAAAATCTGTTCCGTGACTTTTCAGGAGGTGGACTTATGGAAGAGGAGGAAGAGGAGGAAGCAGAAAAGGAGACAAGACGCCCAGCCATATTTTCCACAGAAAGAGAGACCCCCAACCACAGGAAGCTCCTGAGCCTGGAGTAAAGGACACTGGTTCACATGTCCTCCACTTCCCCACAGTGTGTATTTAAGAAAAAGAATCCAAGGGCCCTTTTCTTTTCTGTAAGGAATCTGGAAGAAACAGATGGGCAGTGGGGCAGAGACAGAAAGGGTCCTAGGATTGAGGTCAGGGCCGCTAGCAAGCAATCTCATCGAACGGGCTCAGGTGTCAAGACAGGTCCACAGGAAGGTGAGCCTGGAGGGTGCCTGCTAGACGAGTTTCTAGATGGAGAAACTCGGAGAAGGAGGAATTTGCTCGAAGGTGTCAGAACTGGATCCAAACCCAGGAGTCCTGTGTGCCAGAAGAACTCCCAGGGGACAGTCTTGGGGCCAGCCTCTCTCAACCTCGGGTACCTTTACAGGGACACCTGTCAGAACTAATCCGCTCCAAGAAGCCACAGGCTCCACGGCTAACCCAGAGGAAGGGTTTCTGCCCAGGACCCACCTCTTCCCCATTGCTTTCCCTTTTCCCAGGCTCACACCCCTCCCAGTACCCTTCCTAACCCTTCCGGCATCCATCTGACCCCCTCCCTGCGCTCCTCACCTTCACGGCTGGGATGCTTGAAGGTCATAGCTGCCGCGAGTTCCCCGCCGTGCACGGCTACACCGGCTCCGGGGGGCGCCAGAGGAGGGCCCTGCGCCGGCGGCCACGGCGGGCCCGGGGCGAGGTAGCCGCCGCCTGGGGCGCTGTACACGCCGTGCTGGTTGGAGGGCGGGTAGGCGCAGGCGGGGAGGAAGCCGCCCACGGCCGAGAGGGTGGAAGCCGACTGTGGGTATAGAAAGGGACGGTCAGCAAGCAGCAGAAAATCCAGCCTTCTCTAGCGCACGCACGCCTTCACTGAGATGGGGGTTCTCATTCCCCTCTCCCCACGCCCCGCACTCACTCCCAACCCCATTCGTTAACTCCACGTGAGACCTGGCCTCTAAATTTCCTAGTAAGGACTCTTTGGCAAAGCGATTTCTAAGAATTCACTCAAATTGTTACAAATAACAATTCGAAGGGGTCATGGTATTCACATTGGGACTTAGAGAAAAAAGGTCCTTGATCTGTGGTCTGGAGTTCCAGCATTTTTAGCAAAAGTATCTTGGCACAGGCCAGTCAACCCGTCGAAAGTCAGACTCCCCCAAACTAGAGCGCTTAAGGACAGAACAGAAATATACCTCGAGAAGACGCTTTCTGGCCGGGCCGCCAAATGCAACCATCTGCCTGCCTGGAAGAATTTTGCCTTTTCTTTCTTTCTCCCTCTTTTTCCCCACTTCCCCAAACCTTCTGCTTCTCTACTTAAGATCACCTCCCTCACCTGCCTCTTGGTTACCTGAGTGTATTTAATATCTGCCTCTAAAGCAGGTTTCTCCAGTCCATTCACTGCGGGGGTGGTCGGGAAGGCCGGGCGGTTCACGCTGGCCCAGTCTTCCATCTTGGGAGAGTAAGTGGCGCCTTCGCTCCCAGCCAGAGCCCCTGCAGGGAACACAGCACGGATTAGAAGGTACCTCCGAATCTGACCTGGGCATACATGTGGCCAACCACCCAGCTTGTATCTGAAGGCGCGGCCAGGGGTCCCACAACACCTGTAGATGGCCTGACACTCGGCCAGGAGGCAGAGGGCGGCAGGGACTAGGATGTTCACCACTCCTGGCGGGGCAGAGGAAAGGCAGCCAGGCCTGCTGCCCCCTCCTCCTGGCCTTCAACCAATTTCCCACCAACGGGAGGCTGCTGCTGGGTCAAGGGATGGACAGACTTGACCAAAGCGGGCGCTGCATTGTGCACACACGGCTCCCAGAAATTTCCAAGTTCAAATCTGTGCAACCTCATGAAAATTGCATGGATGTCTCAACATCTGCACAAGCATCTGAAGTGCAGGGAGCTGCTTCTACAGAACTGCCGCTGGAAATGCCCAGGGTTTCCCAAAAGAACCGTCAATCTTGTGGCCCTCAGGAGTCAGATGGAAGCACTCAGCTGCTCTCCAGGCCCTTGTGTGTGCCTGGAACCAAAGGAAAGCTCCAGATCTGTGTGCAGGCTTGCCTCCCCACCAGATGCCCACTGCCATGCCATGGGAAGCTTTGGTCTCAACGTGCTGCTCGGACTGGGTCAGAGCTACCAGGAGATACAAATCCAGCGCAAGGCCACAGAAGCGCCGCTGCTGCTGGAGCTGAGCATTCACAGTTTATGTCCAGCCACTGCGCTTTCCTCCTGGGCTACCATGAATTTTGCTCCTTACCTTCCTCCTGAGTCTGCTCACCTAGGATTGATTATGCCATTCTCTGGCCAGCTGCTGGCAGCTGGGGACCTTGCAAGGAAATCCAGACTGGATTCTGGCCGGATTCTTTCCCAGCCAGGCATCAAGGTTGTTCCAAGCCTCCCCACCTTCCCCATCTTCCTTGTCACCCACTTGACCAACAGCTTGTTGAGTTATAAGTGCAGGGAAAGGGCAAACCTTGTGAGGGTGGCTGCAGCCCCAGCAGCCATCACCCCAAACTCCAGGACCTGCAAAGCCACAGGGTCTTCAAGATGTCGGTCACTCAACCGACCACAAGACCCCTTTTCCTTTAGCTCAGAAGAACCGCTGGGCCTGGGAGTGGGGGCAGAACCCTTGGGAAATCCTGAAGGATTCTGAGAGCTAAAGAAAGGGTCTCAGAATTGCCTGAGTGGGTTTTTTTTCTTAGATCTAGCATTAGGAGTTTGCATACTTTTTGCAAGAATGAAAAAGCGCAACTTCAGGCCTCCAAATTTGTGGTCGGCAATTGCTCTTCCATTTGGGAAATATTTTCCATATTTGTCATAAAAAGTTCAAGATGTCCGAGGTCTCTTACAGAAGGACCCCAGCCTCCCTGGCCAGTGTGGAGCCCTCCCCTGAGCCAGAACTGGTCCCGAGAGGAGAGTGAGTGTGAGTCCTCTCCTGCAAGCCTGCCCACCCCAGGTTCTGCCCCTTAATAGAAGGCTACGGAGGCCGCCACGACTGACCTGTTTGCTCCATAAACGTCCGGATGCCCAGGATGTTGCTCACCGAGTGTGCCGAGGGCCATGAGCGCGGGATGCTGACGTGGCCCGCCGTGCCCGGGACCCCAGGGTGGCTGCCCATCTTGGTGCCCGTGGGTGACACGGGACTGGGGTAGGGGTACTGGTAGATGTGGTTGTAGGGCAGCGTAGGCTGCGACGGCGGCTGCTTACTTGCCTCGTACGGTCCAGGCTGCGCCAGGCTGCCGATCTTGTTGCGCAGGATGCGGCTGATGGAGCTCACCGAGGGCACATTGTACTTGTCACAGACGCCGTCGGCCAGCAGCCGGTCTCGGATCTCCCAGGCAAAGATGCCAGGGTCTCCCTGCTTGTAGTCCCGGATGTGCTTGACCACGTTGGGAGTGGTGACTCGGGGTTTACTGCCCCCAATGGCCCCAGGCAGGATGGAGCCCGTCTCGTTGTAGCGAGCCAGGATCTTGCTCACGCAGCCGTGGGATACGCGGAGCTGCCGACTGATGTCACAGGGTCGGATGCCGAGCTGCGCCAGCTCCACAATGCGCAAGCGGATGGCGTTGGGCAGGGGGCGGCCATTGACGAACACACCGCCCAGCTGGTTCACCTCGCCGTAGGTCTGCTCTACGGATGCGCCCGAGAAAAGTGAGCAGGAAGGGGAGAAAACACCCGGCGGGTTAGCCAACGGTCCCCACGCGGGGCGAGGGACTGCACCCAGGCGCACTTCCAAAGGTGACCTGTGGGTCCCCAGACAACTTGGAGTCCAAGGGCAAACTGCCTGGGTCCGCCTCCGAATGGGCGAGGGCGTGGAGGAGCCGCTGAGTGGAGCACGGCGCGTTGTAGCCCTCCGTGCCCTTTCGAACTTCTAACGCGTCTACTTGGAACACTCCCTTCCCAGACTAGCTCAAACTGCCCCCTAAAGGCTGGGGACCCGAGGAGAACAGAGCTCATCCAGGACCCAGGACTGGGTCGCCCAGGGAAAGCGGAGGAGAGGAAAGGGAGGCGCGGGGACCCGACCCACCTCATCTGCCCTCCCGCGCCCTGCCTGTCGCCCGCCCCTTACCCATAGCGCGCGGGCCAGCCAGCTGCCTGGCGCCGGGGTGGCCCGGGCTGGGCCCGGCGCAGTCCGGGAGAGCTCGGGCGCCGCCGCCGCCGCTGGAGAGGCATAGAGGGAGGGCGCGCGAGAGCCGAGAGCCGCGGCGGCCCGGCCGCGGGCTGGAGAGGCGCTGAGTGCGGCCGCCTAGCGCGCCGCCGCCCGCTCCAGGGCCTGCCGCCGCCGCTGCCACCCTCTCCCAGGACACTCTCCACGCCCGCGACCCCAGGCCCAGATTGAACTTCATCCGATTGGGAGAAATTCGTCTGACCGGGAGGCTGCAGCGTGTGGGAATCAATTTGACGTGTCCTCCACGTCAATCTCGGCAGTCACGCCGGAGACGCGCGAGTTGGCAGCTCATTGGTTCCCGTCACTGAGCCCCGGCGCCCCCCTCCCCGCCCTGAAACCCTACCCCCTCCTTCTGTCTTCCCCCCTCGGCCTTTCTCCACCCCCTCCCCACCCACCCTTCTACACACACACACACACACACACACACACACACACACACACTTTCCAAGCCCAGCTGGGCCTGGGACCTTCCACTGCTCCGAGCCCCTTGCAGCCCCCTCCTTCCTCTGGCTTTACGAATGATGGAGAAGTCATCTCCAATTGATGAGTGTGTTAGTACTAGTACTGGTTTTCATTTGGATTTTAGTTTTATTTCCACCACCATTAATAATAAGACAGAGAATAAAAGTTGATCGTGGCAAGGTGTTTAGGGTGTGGCTGCCTCTACCTCCCCACTCCCTGGGTAACGGCTGGGGAAGAGTGGGATCAGTACCCCAGCTGGCTGGGGGTGTCAAGGTGAGCGTCCAGCGCTGTGCAGGGCGCCTGGCAGGAAGGTACAAGGCGGTGTGCCGTGAAACTGATTCCTGCATGTCCCATTCCTGGCCAGGTTCTCAATCGTTCTCTCAGGAAATTTTCACAATGTTTATAGCCAACCACTCTTGAAATAGTGGGGGTGATTTTGGCGACGCGAGAGGGGTACAGTCCAGATCCTGTCTCCTACAGCCAGGCCCAGCCACCAGAACTCATTCCTCTCCAAGAGGTGATACAGGGGCAGGAGGCAAAAGGATTCGCCTGCTGCTACCAGGCTCAGAGATCCGGCGCCCTCCAGACCCCTAGCGAGACCGGCGGGAGACCAACTGCATAGTTCCAGCTCTAGGTCTGAAGGACAAGTTCTTTTCTCCCTGATGTTGGAATCCCTCACCACTCTATCCCAGGTGGACTGGCCAGGTCTTTCTCCCTGCACCTGCAGCTTCGGGAAGTCTCTGTTAAACTACAGAATTATCTTTTCTCCTTCATTTAAATGAGGTTTTACTCAGCCCTGAATTCTTTGCCCCTGAGATTGAACATCAACCCATTTCTCTGTTTCTACCCTGCACCAAAACAGTTCTGAACTCCCCAACCTGTGCAGCTAACCGTGCCCCAGAGCCATGAGGGGAGGGCCAAGGCGCTGAGGTTTTGAACCTGAACTCATTTGAGGGGATCAGGAACTGAGAATTCTGAGGTTGTGGCCAGTAAGCACCAAAGGAATTGGGCTGAATGTACTGGACAAGGAAGAGGGCATAGGGGAGAGAGCGGGAACAGACAAGGTTTCTGAGACTTAGCGCTCCTAGAGAAGCGAGAACCCCCTTTCCCCACCTCCTGCCCAGCCTAAGGGTCTAGCTCTCCTGAGCTGCTCAGAGTTGAGTATGGCGCCAGCGCCGTGACCCTGGCTGAGGCGCACATGGACCCGATCAGCGCAGCCTGGAGAGCCATGGCTGCGGAGGCCCTGACCCGTTTCCCTCCGCTGCGGGGCCAGACAGCATCCCAGCTCCTAATCCACCTGTCTAAATGTATCTGTTAGGAGAGCCTGAATCATAAATCCTGGGCTCTCTAGAGAAAGCACACGGTGTCCGGGGGTGGGGGGGTGGGCTGGGGCTGGGGCCGGGGCCACAGGCAACAATTACCCCTGAGAAAAGAAAAACCAGGTTTAAAAGAAGTGAACTCTTCCTCTCCGGCGGCATGAATACAGTACAGTCTCTGGTTCTGGCAGCCTCTGGGAGGTCGTGGAGACCTGCAGGAGGTTTGAGGTTCAGTGCACTGGCCGGCGAGTGTGAGAGTGAGGGCGGGAAGTGTCCACGACAGCGCAGGTTTGGAATATGGAACTGGTAAAGCGAATGGTTTGGATTTGGATTAAGGTGGGCACGCCTAAGCCAGGAGTTCCGCGAAGGCACCCGAGAGAGGACTAAGCACGCACAGTATTCCGGGCTGGGAGTGCGGGGTGCAGGGAGTGGGGACGCACCCTGCCCAGTGCTCTCCAGATATTGCGGAATCTGCTAGCTTCTAATCTAGACTTTCGTCGGGCGCGAGATACCAAGAAAGGTTGATTTCCAAACCTTCGAGTCTCTGAGATAAAGAAACGCAACATCCCTGCCTCAATCCAGCGCATACCGGTGATCCGGAAAAGCAGCTGAAGCCACTTCTTCCCGCTGTAGATGAGGAATCAACAGGCTCACTCAAATTAGAGGAAATGAAGCTGGTCGTGATGCCGGCTGGTTCACCCAACTACCCCTTCAGGAAAACGTCCACTCCACCTCGGCTGGAGAGCTTGGAAAAGTGTTACGGAGTCGCAGCTCAGGACAAACCCCCCACACACACCCCACCGTCCCCGGGAAGTCCGCGGGTGGCTGGGGGAGACTGTAGAGGAGTGAGTTTGGGGATTGCGCACGCTGAGAGGGGGTGGTTCTCTGGGGTAGCAGAGTCAGCGGGCCCTCGACTCAGTCCCGGCCCCTTTCCCGCAGCCAGCCGTGAGCGATCGGAACCACACAGCCCTAGCTGCAGCCTTCTGCACGGTCGGGCAGATAGAAAACCTTACAGTTTGTCGCCCCCTGTCGTCCCCCGGCCGGGCTCCGCGGGTTCCCGAGCGGCAGGCTAGGCTGGGGAGAGGTGGCCCTAAGGTGAGATTGCAGAAAGAAAAGAAACGTCTCTCGCACGTCCCAGGGAGGCAGCTTAGCCCTCTCCACGGCCCGGGGACAGCTTCTAGCCAGCTCTGAGCGCACAGAGGTAAAGAACTCGCGGATTCTGCTTTTTTGTTTGGCTGGGTTTGGCACCGTATTTCAGCTTGCTCTGGGCGCAGAGGGCAACAATGTGCCGCTTCCACGGTCGCGGGAGCCGGTTAGCTGAGGGCGCACTCAGGAACCTGGGGCAAAACTCCTCTGCCTGGGGCTACACTCCTACCCGGGCAGAGGATGGATTTGAGGGTAACCTAGCGGCCTTGGGCCTTCGCCCAGTTTTCCGAAGGCGGGGAAATAAAGAGAGGCGAGCTCTATACGGAAAGCGGGAGTCAAAAAGAAGGCGCGAAGAAGTGCCCTGCCCTTCTGGGGCCTGGGGGTTGGCAGCAAAGGGAGTTACTGGTGAGTACTCCCTTGCTACAGGCCACCTGAGTCGTGAATTCAGCATCTGAAAGTTGACACTGCTGAACAGCCAGGGGTTCTGTGACAGGGCCGCTCTTGGAGCTACAGCAGCCCCTACTTCACGTCTCCTGTGTCGCTTTGACTTTTGGTGGGTTTGTTTCGGGGAGTTAAAACGAGCAACAGGACGGGATGCTCCGGGGCGCAGGTATTTCAAGGTCTCCAGGAAAAAGTTTAAAAAGCTGATAGAAGCCCAACTTGGGCATGCAAGTGCGCATTTTGGTTCTTGCGGGAAGTAGCAGAGGGCAGAAAACACAGGTGGCACTCCCCGAGGGCCCTGGCCAGGCTTGGGCCTAAGGACTAAGGACGAACGCTGGTACCCACCAGCAGCAGCCCGCAGGGGCCGCAGGACAGGGATCCAGGGTCTTCTTCCTCAGGACGTCCTAGCCTCAGGCCTTAACAGATCCGCTTTTGCTCCCGCGTGAGTCCTGGCTCGGCTCAGGACCTTCGCTTTTGCTGTGTTTTTAAGATCACTGAGCCATGAGTCCTGTGGTTCAAAACCAAAGTCAAACTGAGTCTCTTAATTTTCTTAAATTTGCTTTTGGAAAAAAAAAAAAAAAACAGCTCGGGCTACAAACGCGATTTATGCGTCAGGTTATAGTACCACGCCCCTACTACACATGCCCACGGTTTTTCAAAAAAAAAAAAAAAAAAAAAAAATCCACCACACCACATTTAAAAATAATAGATAATTGACGAAAAGAGAAATGGCGAACAGCTAGCTGCAAAGAAACTATGGGAAGAAGAGCTGAGCCAGATCGGGGAGCTGCAAACCCTTGGGGGGAACGCGAACAACTAACACACCAAAAACTGGCTTGTGCAACAAAGCAACAAAACTCCTCCGGGAGTGACTGCGGTGGTGGCAGGAGGGGGGCGAGGAAGGGGAGAGGAAGACTGGGTTCTGAATCGGCGCCTGTGAGCGCTGCCGTGGAGCGCGGGGTCAGCGTGTCCTCCCTCCAGTGTGGACCCTCAAGGATGAGGTGGGGAGTGCGTTGGGCACTGAACCTGCCTCTCCTGACTGGGACACACAGGCTCTCCAGACCCTAAATGGAAGGGTTTGTTGAGGACCCTGCCAACTGGCATTAAAACAGAGCCCCCAAGAGCGAGAAATAACGTGCTTGGCCTCGCGGACCCATTCCCGCGGCTTATTTTCATTTGGCTTGCTGCTGACCAACGTGGTCTGAAAGTTGGTTCTTTGCCTAGGCGTGCATGATGTTCGCCACCCTGGAAATGTTTATTATCGAAAGTGAGTCAGGTCAGCCGGAGTAGTTGGAGCACCGGTTCCGCTGACCCTGGCCTCTATCAGCGAATAATGTCCTTGAAAAATCCGTGGTGAGAGAAGGCAGGAAAACTTTTTTCGTTTTCCTAAAATGAAATGAATAAACAAGAATAGGTGAACATTTTCGGTGTGATTAACAAAACAGTGGAAGACCAGGGCTCCTCAAAAATGTTCAGAGATGTAAGAAAACAGCAAACTAGAAAACAGATTTGCTGTGAAACCCGCACTAGAAATAAATAGGGGGGAATTGTGTCTTGCCAACGAAGATCTAAGTTATTTTCTACCCTGCAATGCAGGGATCTACTACATTAATAACGTTCATTTTGGAGTAGAAACATTTTAAACGTGGCATTTAGCTGATAAAAATAAACTACAGAGGGTTGGTGCCCTTTGTAGAAAGAAATGGTTTCTAGAGCCTTCAGGAGGATCTGGCATTCTTGCCCTTCTTGGGTGTACATCCTCACTAGCCCCAAATCGAGTTCTGCAGATTGCTAGTATGTCTCTCTCCTTTCCCTGGCAATCAGCAGGTCAAATAAGCCTTAATTTCCTCATATAAAATGACCTCTACTCTGCAATTAGATCTTATTTAATTTCATTTCATCGACATGAATGCCTGCAGAAGTTTCCAAACATGGGTCGAAATTCCACCTTTGCAGTGAGCACTCAAAAATGTTTAGATGACAGTATTAAGTGTAAGCATCACTGTTAAAATAGAAATATTTGGGAAAATTGAAATGTCCATGGAGCATATCTCCTGGGTATTTGGAAAAGGGGAGATCTAAGAATAGCCACAGGGGTAAAAAACATAGAAATGGCATTTGCGAAGGGACCTGAAAGGGTGGTGGTGTAAATGCCTGCAGGATGACTCGCAAAGGCAGCAGTAGCGAGGGTCTCCTGCTGTCTAGAGGATAACCCTGTAAATCTGACTAGCTCAGCTGCAAATATTGACATGTGGGAGACATCCACACTGGCCCAGCCTAATTGGAACCAGCTTGAAGTGTGTTGCCCTTGAATGCAAGGGCAATGCTTTGGAAATTCTGTTCCTACATGGTAATAGAACCTGAATAATGGGCAAGGAAGCTGAAGAACCCAAGTGCAGCCCTTTATCATGATTAAAGGCAACGTCCAGCCAGTCCTTGTTTGCCTGGATTTGTCTGGCTTCTTATTAAAGATTAGTCCTATCCAATCTTCCGCAGACACACACACATACACACACACACACTTCAAGCCCTGAAAATGGGGTAGTTAGAAGGTTTGCACAAAGGAACGCTAACACCTGCAGGTGGACAGTCTCTAGATACTCTTCCTGTAAACTGACAGTGAAGCCAAAGTGCTGCCCCCCTCTTCAGTTATGCATTTCTTCCGTGATTAAAATTACGATTAGAATTAGATGTTAAAGATTTTATTTTTTATATCCAGCATACAATTTAGAAACACCACTATTTTGGAATAAAGTCTTTGTTACAGGGCTGTGTCAACTCAGAAGTCTTGAAGTCCTCTGTAATTGAATATTCTCATCAAAGTAGGATCTCCTTCATGTTCATTTAATTTCTCATAAGTATATCACTGTTGCTTCTACCCACCGCAGCATAAATCATTTTCCTTGCCAGAAATCAAGTATCTTTTATAATGGGCTTTCTTTAAGGCACAAATGGATAATTTTTACTGTCTGCCTAGCCAATCACTTTTAACTAATTATTGTTCTATATATTTTTGTCTCTAATTGCTACGACATCCCAATGCTTGCTACATATACATACATACATACACACACACACACACACACACTCACACACACACACACACACACTCACACACACACACACACACACACACACGTATATATATAATATGTCCACAGCTTGGTGATGGTTTTAATTTTCTTCCCCTTCCCCTTTGTGTATGGGCTATGAAGTTTTATTGAAGACCCGTAATGCCTCCGGTTTTGATTTAATGTTTTGGAGTTTGTGATCTCATTGCCTGGCATGGAAAATATTAGGCAGGGTCTGCAGATTGTATGCAGGAAAAGACCCGCATCACCACCGTGGGGTGAGTGCTTCTTCCCAGTCTGCAACAAGCCGACTGAACTGCCGTTTAGAGTCGATGTTCGATGTTCGGTTTTGTGCTGTCGAATAGTCACCACTTCAACCAGTCCTGCTTTTGCAAAGGGTTTTTAAGAAACAACGAATCTCAACTGGTGCTGCATATTGGAATCACTGGAGGGAGCCTTAGAAGGTCCTGATGCCCGGACATCATCCCCAGATATTCCGGTGGAATTTGTCTGGGCTGTGGCCTGGGCACTGGGATTTTTAAGAGCTGCCCTGGTGATTCTAATGAGCATTAAAGTTTGAGAATCTCTGCTTTAGGGGAAACTGGGAAGAGAAGGGCAGGTATAACATGATACTTCTTGCTTCACAAGTGTTTTCCTGGATGCCGGAGGAAAGGCTGGCAACTCACTGGCCTCACCTCTGTGAACACCTTACAGTGGCTCGTGAAAACATATTTAAATTCATGTCTAAAACAGCGTTCCTGGGTATTTTCACACTGTGTCACTTTGACCCCTCCTGGAAACAGCTGAAAAGGGAGAACACTGCCTTCCCGATCTGGGTTGGTTGCCTAAGGTTTGTCGTCTTTAAAGATTTCTTTGTCTTCCTGCCCTCACACAGGTGACCCCAGCATGCTGCTTGGGCGTAACATCTGTACAGCTTCACTGCACAGTAAGCTGGCGGGGATGAGGGGAGGTAGAGAGTCAGTGACCTAGCCACTCAGGCTGGCAGATCAACTTTGGGAGAGGTGGCAGTGAATCATAAATGCTACCCAATGAGGGAGTCAGAATGATTTCATTGTCCGAAGAGGCGGGAGTTGAACTCAACTCTTAGCACTGTTAAATAACACTGTTAAATTGGTAGATATGTAAGGTCACAGGGCAATCATAACCCTCAAGCTTCTGATGCCATCCAAGAAATACGGGATCTTCTGAAGGGCTCAGCTTAGTTTGTATCTTTACGACTAGTGTGGTTGTTAACATTATTTCATTGACATGCAGGCTGGAATGGGGGTGACTTGCACGCTGGCTAGGGGACTATTGTGTTGCAGATCTGAGCGTTGCTTTTATCCCGGCCCAGACTTGCAGTCTTGGTAGAACACCTCAGTTATCCGCTTCCAAGTCTCAAACATCAAGTAAAAGAAAATTCTTTTTTATTTTCACTAGCCTTACCTTGGTCGTAAATTTAAAATCTAAACTGCTTTATTTGATTTGCTTTTTATTGTTTTGTAAGCATATGCATATTCTAAAATACAAAACTCATTTCATGTTTCAAACAAGTTCCAAAAAAAATCAGGAGGTAACTGCATCACTGTAGACCTTTATGTCCTCAAAAGGTACATAAAAGTACAGTGTTGTATGCAATGGTTTTTCAGATTCTTTTTAGCTATAAAATGGTGTTACTAAGTCACTATTCAGACTGAAAGAACAAATCCGCAAATTATTGAGGGGCTTTGGGTCTTGTTTATTTTTTAAAATCTTGCATGGACATCTCTTGAGAAGATCTTGAAATGCATATTTTAGAAACCTCATCAGTTTTTTTTAACTATCTTGTAAAAAATTCTTTATATTCATCTACTTTAATAAAATTGCACTATACGATGATGTTAAAATAATTTAAAGGTACATGAAAATTAATAATAGCAATAGCAGAAACTAAAATGTCCTGAAAGTGACATTTAATGTTTGGTATTTCTCAGCAACACCCAGAAACTTAAGGGTTATAGGGTTACAGGAAATGCAGTAACAGCTGCTGAATGAGGGTGCAGGACTGTAGATTTTATGAACGGGTATGCTGAGAAAATGAGTTTTGACAAGGTTTCTAGGCATTCCAACATTGGAAAAGTGGATAACTGAAATAATATCCGTCAGGCTGGGAAGTGTTCCACATTTGGAATATTGCTTCATGACAGGCCAACAAGGCAAGAGGTTTGCTCCCCTGTAATGGGTACCCTATAACAGTACTGTCCATTTCATTTTGCATTATAACGCTTCTGGGTGAGCCCCAATGCTGTGTGGTTTAATCTCTGTTATGCAATTTTGTAATCCAACATATAGCCCAGTTCGTTCTGCAAGGGGCTGGTCATTTCATGTGTGGGGCATGTGTTCATGTTTGCGATGTCAGCCAACTGATTTGGGCAGAGCAAATCAGGCACTTTCAACTTAATTTCTCTTTAAACTGAGGTGTAGGTAACTGTGGAAGAGGAGCTGTGGCATTGGCTGGGGCTTGGCATTAAGCAGAACTTTAATTTGGACGAATGGCTTTAGGCCAGATTTGATGGCATTTTATTATGACTCAGGCTTGAAAAGTCAGGCTTCCTCTGCCGTTTTAGGCTGTACTCACCTGCCCTTTATTACAGAGGGAGTGGGGACTTAATTGATGACCCTCTGTTCTCATTGTGCCTTCAGAGCCTCTTTGCAGCTCTAGTATTTCGGCTGCTAGAAAGCTTGAAGAAATTAATGACCAGACACAATTAGAGCTTGTGTGTGTGTGTGTGTGCGTGTGTGTGTGTATTTCATTGTCAAGTAAGCACACAGAGGGTCTACACATTCTCTTTAAGGCTCAGTATTTATAGGTCAAAAAAATGCATATGCACCTCAAACTCAGAAAATCATCTAGCTACAGAAAAGCACAGTATTGACAAATCCAGGCATTTTTTTTTTAGCTCAAAAGTCCACAGGCTGAAATCTGGGTTCCGGACTCCATCTCCTGAGACCCAATCTCATGAATCTCATGGACCTCAGTGTGCTCATCTATAGGATAGGGTTTTGGCCAGGGCCAAATGACCTAACCACAGAAAACACTTGATGACAGGAGATGCTGAATCACTGGCCATTATTCTCATTATACTATTTTTCTATACTATTTTTTTAATAGAGACAAGGTTTTGCTCTGTCAGGCAGGATGAAGTGCAGTAGCACAAACAGCTCACTATAACCTCAACCTCCCAGGCTCAAGCGATCCTCCCACCTCAGCCTCCTGAGAAGCTAGGACTACAGGTGCATGCCACCACATGTGGCTAATTGCTTTTTATTTTTTGTCTCGCTATGCTGCCCAGGCCAGTCTTGAACTCCTGGCCTCAAGAAATCCTCCTGCCTCAGCCTCTCAAAGTGCTGGGATTATAGGTATGAGCCATTATGCCCTGCTTATTTTTTTTATACTTTAAAAAAACTAATACATTTTCATTTGTGTCTCTTTTATAGGACACCTGTTGAACATGCAGTGGATGATTTGCCAATAGAAATATTTATAAATCAAGCCATCTTAAATTGTGTCTCGAGGAGAAAACAGCCTTATTTTTCTGAGTCTCCATTTGTTTGCCACGTTCTTCCCTGATCTGAAAGCACTTCACAGGGCTGGGTTCAAGACCCTGAAGTGACGCTCCGTGGGGAGACAGGATCAGCAGCGTCTATTGCCAATAGAAGATGAGTGATGGAGGTGGTAAGTGACAGCTATATGCTCTCCAGTTTCAGGAAGCCGAGGAAGATGGCAATCCACAGCTGGCCTGCAATTTTCCTGTGGCATGGGAGAGCTATGGTTCTTCCTGAGGTCCGATCCTCTTGAAATGCTGGGCCCTACACTAAACAGGAATCACCGGCTTGTTCTGGCTAAACCCACTGTAACATCAAGCTCTTCCTTTGTCAGAAAGAAGAATATCTTTTACTTCTGTGTTTACTTTCATGCTTTTTTGTCTTGAGTGTGGTTTTTCCCCTTCCTTGTTTGCCTTCTGAACGTGTTCTTTCACCAGGAGCTCCCTCAGGGAACGGGCCCAGTCCCTCGCAAATCAAGCCTGGGCTTGGGGTTCAGGGACTGACTCTCTGAGCAGGCCCCTGCTTGTGACAAGGGTTCCTGACTAAGGAACAGTGAGACTTGACTCTTCCTTTTATCCCAAATTACGATTTTTTAAAGAATTCATGCTGCTCCTGGGTTCCCCACATCTAAAGCCTTTCCCCATTCCCTGAAGTGCCTGACATCTAAGATTTTGGTGAAGTGACATCTTCTATTATTAAAATGTTATACTCTTGGGATAAGCAGATCCTAGTTATTCGTCCTTATGAATGTGGTGAAGTGCTGTAGGGCTCACAGCCTCTGTTCACCATAAGACTGGGCATCTGTGTAGTGTAGTGAACACTGCCCAGCATGCTCAGATCCCCCCACCAGCGCTGAGATGCTCATTTCCTCAAGGCTGGTGGCTCAAAGCAGGGCCTCCTTCTCATTGCTGTAGGCTAAAGAGATCCCTAACACCCAAGCAAACACCTCCTTCCTGGGGGCCGCTCACTGTGGGGTACAAAAGCCTCAATGGAGAACAGCTCTGAGGCCATCCCAGCACGAGAGCTCCACGGAAGATCAACTTGGGTCTGGTTTGCTACTACATCGGTGGGAATTTTCTCCGGGTCAGCCCTGCCCTTCATCCCTCACAGTATCCATCTCGAGAACCCTTCCCAGTACAGCAGCTGCCTAACGGGAAGCCCAGTCCATGCTATGCCAGCCATGTGGGTTTGTTATGACAGTTTCCTTGCTGCAAAGATAAAGGCATGGAGATAAAACTATTGCTACCCAATCACACAGGGATAGAAGCCAGGGTGGCTCTAGCCAGCCCACAGCTCTCCTGCCCTGGCAGAAGGAATTATTCTGAGAGGTGGGAGTTCTTGCCAAAAGGAAATGATTTAGCCTGTGGGGCCACAAGGGCAAGGAGGGGGCAGGCTGATCTGGAGCAGGGCAACGTCAGAGTTAGATTAACACCAGGGCTTTTAGCATCTGAGAGGCAAGAGAAAGGTGACGAATATGGAGACGTGAGGGCTCTGGGACAAATGCAGCGATTTAAGAATGTGGTCTGGCTCTGTTTCCAGCACATGTAGATTTCTGAAATGGAAAAGCAACAGAACCTCCTAGGGGCCCCACAGATTAGAACTTGGGAACATAAACTATGTTGGTGGGCTCATACCAGCTCTAAAAAAAATAGCTTCATTCAGCAAATTAATCAAGTCATTTTGATCACCAGGAAAACCTACATCTACTGAGAAATAAATGATTTTCAGACCCTTTAGGAGGTGGTGTTAACATGTAATCCATTTGAGCAAATACAAAGTTCGTTCTTTCTACAGTTGACACGTGCTGGTGACGCAGGGTGAGAGGTAGTTTTTGCTTTTTAGGACTTTGTGTTCTGCTACCTGCTTCCTAAACTTGGATGTGCCTGTCCTGTTACTACTTGGCAGCGGGATGGAAGAAGGGCCAGCCACAGGAAAGCACGTCTTCCTGAAATCTCAACCTCACCTAATGATTTTGGAAAATAAAATTATTTTAATATCAAAACAAGTGTAGACTCTTCATGGCACAAGATATAAATTTTTGTCCATTCGACGGACAGAAGAGAAAACATTAAAAAATGCCGCCCTCATCTGGAACCCAGGTTGAGGTCCCATTTGGGAGTGGCAGAGCCTTTACCTCTGGGAACCAGGAGGGGGTGCTGTGCGGAATCGTTTGGGCCCCACTGTAAGCAGAGAGAACCCAAGGAAAAAAACACAGCTCTGAGACTGAGGAGGCCATGGGCACCAAAGAACACCGGGCATTTCAGGAAGGAACTGGTGTCTCAGACGGACCTTGACGAATGGGTGAATTTTGACGGGCGGAGGCCTAGAGGCCAAAGGAAGGACAGGAAAGATCTCCCCGGGAAAGCAAAGGTGGCCACAGAGGTAGTCACAGGAAAGCAGCTTGAGAGCAAACACTTTGGCTCAGGGAAGGCGCTGGGCAGTGTGGGATGTGGTGGCACCGAAAGCAGGAAAGGGGGTTGAGACTGAGCCTGCGTGAGCCCAAAAGGCAGGTTAAAGTGTGGTTACTGAACTGAGGGGGGCGTCCCGCAAGGAGACAGGTCCAAGTCCCGGAAGGCGGGACATTGACTTCAGACTGAAGAGACCCTCTGACTCACCGACTTGCATCCTGTGGCTCAGGCAAGTCATCTAACCTCTGAATATCAGTTTTTCCATCTGGAAAATGAAGTCACATTAAAACCCATTTTTTGAGGACAGCCAACAATTAAATGAGATGAGAAAGATAAGGTGTTTGGTACAATGTCAGCTGCATAGCAAGTGCTCAATAAATGATTGTTATTATAATAGTATTATATGGCTATAATAGATGGCAATTTTCATATAATACATGATTGTGATAATGGTTCTCAAGACTAACCATGAGAGTACTGAGAAATCAAGAGGAAGCTAGATGAGCTGTGAGCCGGGAATGCCAAGAGAGGAAAGGCGCTTGGGCAGGCGTCCTCCATGGCTAATTTTAGATGATCTTAGCTATTCACTAAGGCAGAATTTCTGCAAGCCGTAGCCTACTGGCCTCCTAAATATTTCTCCCTGGAAAGCAGCAAAGCCTCATCTTTAAAATCTCTTCTGAGTTGAGCTGCACTTTCACAACGTTCTTCCTCTCTGTACTCTCACCCTAGAACATTCAGTCTTGGGAGCAACCCCTGGAAATGACAGCAGCCCTCCAAGGATGGTCTTGAGGGGCTGGGCCACAGAGGGAAGCAAAGGCAGGAGTCAAGAAGCCCAGTTAAAGGCCCCCCTGGGCATCAGTGGGGGAGGACAGTGGGCAGATAACTTCTATTTGCTTCCTTTAGCTTTGACTTTCAGACACCAACTTCTCTGCCATTGTTCGTCTTCTAGGTCTCTGCCCAGCTGCTAGTAACTGGGGCTTCCCCAAGGCCAAGGGCTGGGTCCAGCCTTCAGGCTTCCCATGAGACTGTGGGGCCATCCCTGAAGTTTAGGGAGCCCCGCCTTCAGCCTGTTGTGAAACTGTGACCCTGCTTCTCATGGACACCTGGCCCACCGTCCCGTCTTTTCTCGCTTTTGAGCTCCATGGAAAGGACAGTGCTGTTTCCCTCCTCACTCTCCTCGCCTCTGGCTCAGCCAGCCTCTCTTGCTGGGGTTCTCCATTGCCACTGGCTGGGTCAGAAGTTGCTCCAGGCTTCCCAGGTGTGGTCTCTGCATCGTGCCTTGCCCTCCATACCTTCTGCCTTACTGCCCTCTAGGCTCTGATCTCCCTGAGATCTCCCAAATCTTGTGATTTTTTTTTTCTCTTCTTCACTCACGTGTCCTTTCAGCCCTGCACCTTAAAATGTAACTATTCTCAGCCTCTTTAGTTTTACTTGTTGCTCTCTGGAGGACCTCTGCTATATCTGCTGCTTCAAGCCATGTTCGCAGGCATCCCAACATCACGTCCCTGGACCCAGCTGCCACCTCTTCCCAGAGCCCCAGTTCTCATTTCCATCCACCAGATGTACTCCCACCCCATGCCGCAGGCCTTTGGGGCCCTACAGGCCGACAGGCTGTTTCTCCCAGCTCTGCCCCTCTCCTGGCTGTGACTCTGGCACCCTCTTTTCCAACTCACCACCTTCCCATGACCTCACCTCACCACCATCACCGCTAATCCTGTTAGTCCTATTTCACTGGTACTTTTCCTATAGCTGGAACCCCCTGCATTCCGGCTCAGGGCAACCTCTCCTAGATGCCTTGATTCACCTGCTTTGCTAATTGGATTCCTGACTCCAGCATCTTCTCCCCTCCCAAATCTCTACCACACTATCCACCATCTTTATTTAAGCATCTCAAATTCCCTGAAGCCTCCCCTAGGCCTCCGTCTTCCCCTAAAATAAATGAATTGAATCTGTTTCCTGTTACTTGGTTCAGACTTCTAGTGCCTCCCTCAGCACAGGGCCCCTAGTCATTTTTTATAAACCTGTCGGCCCAGGAGATCATCAGCTACAAGCTAGGTGCAGAGTGGTGTTCATCTCAGTGCCCCAGCAGCTGGAGCAGTGCCCATTGTCTTAGGCACACAGGAAATGCATGAACAGATAAATAGAAATGCAGCTCCAGTGGATTCCAAGGGACTCAAAACCCTTTAATGGCACCCCACCACCTACAGAATAAAGTTCAGGCTCCCACGTGGACAGTTGGGGCCGCCAATGCTGACCCCAAGGACCATCTTTGTTCTCCATTGCCCTCTGCTCCAGCAGGCCCATGGTGCTCTCAGCTGCTGCCCACACTCACCCCAGACTTTGCTCCTCTGAGCTCTTTCTCCTGCTATTCACTGCCTGTCACCTCCTCAATCAGTACCTGTTGAAACCAAGATCCAGCTCAGGTGCTTCCCCTCCCATGACACATTTCTTAAATTGCCCCCTCAAAATCATGGGCCACTGTTCCCCATTGAGTGCTTTTTGCAGGGTGCACCTTGTTGCTGGGCCTTCCTGTTACACATACTGGTACACAAGCCTTCTTCCTGAACAACTTGTATACCTTCCAGACCCAGGACCATTCGTGTTTTAAAATTTTTTTTATTTTTTTGAGACAGAGTCTCGCTCTGTTGTCCAGGCTGGAGTGCAGTGACACAATCTCAGTTCACTGCAACCTCCACCTCCCGGGTTCAAGCTATTCTCCTGCCTCACTTTCCCAAGTAGCTGGGATTACAGGTGCCCACTACCATGCCAGGCTAATTTTTGTATTTTTAGTAGAGACAGAGTGTTGCCATGTTGGCCAGGCTGGTCTCAAACTCCTGACCTCAGGTAATCCACCTGCTTTGGCCTCCCAAAGTGCTGGGATTACAGATGTGAACCACCACGTCCAGCCACTTTTCAATTTTATTTTTTTGTAAATATGTAAGATAGTCACA